TTTTACTTGTGTTTCCCCTAAAAAGTACTTTACTTTTACTAAGATCTGAATATCCATCAAGTTGCTTACTAAAAATTTCATTACTAAGATGGTGCTTTGAAGAGTTAAGTATACTTCGACACAACCTCAAATTTACAATGTAAATATATTTATTAGAACAACTTACACTGATTATTATCTTTCAAAAAATAGTAATATTCTTAATCAAATATTCTTAAAATAGATTTAACTTTATTATTTTTCATTGCTGATTTTTGTTTGTAAAACAATTATATGGCTAATACCAATATAATTCTATTTAAATTAGGTTTCTTATCTGTCATATGACTTACTTATTTGCTATTATTCTAATTATTTGTTATATTAAAAAAAATTACGTAAAATTTCTCTATTGTATTTGTAATAAATATCAATTTTTGTTTTATGTATGATTGTGTTTAAAATTTGTAAACGACTAATGAAGTAGATTGTTGTGTTATAGGTTGAATTATTTCTAAGATATTTACTTAAATTAATTATTTTTATACACTGCCAACCATACAAATACCATACATGCATAAAATTAGTTTCTAAAATAATTGAGTTTTATTTATATTCATCTCATACATACAGTGCCACTGCTTTTATTCTCATATTTTGGTTTAATAAAATCAACTTATAAACAAAAAAAGATGAAATAAAACTATAGTGATTAAAATCATGCCAAGCAAAAGATTAAATGTCTTACACAATTGCACTTAGTTGAGTTCCAACTCTATATTTAGTCAATTGTCGTGATTCAAATGCTTTGTGTAATAGGACAAGGGGTTTTTTTTCTGTGGTGTGGAGGCAACAAAATTACAACTATCCATTATTTGTATTAGCCATAAATATAATGTAAAGAAATACTTTTATATAGACACATCTATCCCATCAACTTTTAATTATGCAACTGGAATCAATAGCAAAATCTTAACAACAGTGACACCATTGCATGACTCATTTAAGCTACCTTAAGGATTAATGGCAATAAAAAATAAATAAAAAATTTATAAAACAATTTCTAAAAACCCTAACAACCGTTTGAAAAAACAAAAATGTATTTTTAATTTCAAGACCACCTACAAATGTACTTAAAGTCTTCTAAATTTGTAATAGGTTAATTTATATATATATATATATATATATATTACTTGTGCACAAAATTTAAATAACAAGAAAAAGGGGAAAATTTTATATTTTCCAAATATAGTTATATTATCTTATGGTACAAAGTTATTGCCAATTATAACAATCCTTAATTTTTTTTATTTCTATCTAATTACTTTTTTATTATATTTTAATATTATTTTTTCTTTATTTAATTTGTAAAATTGGTATAGAACATTCAAATAAAGAACATAATTATAAAATTAAATAAAAAAGTTTTTTTTAATTATTTATATATTTTGTAAAAGTTATTAATTATAATAATGTTTACAATGGGTTGTTGTAAAATATGAATAAGAACGTGAAAAATGCATATACTAACAATATTTGTTCATCAAATTTATTTTAATAGTTATGAATTTTACAAGTCACAATGAATTAAAAAATTTAAATAAAAATACGGTTATTTAGCTCATATAAGAGAGAATATAAGTTTGATAAAATTTATAGTAATTATACAAGTGGACTTTATAATTTCTTTATGTATTAGTTATATCAATTCAACATACACATATAGATAAGATTTTATCTTTAAATAATTTTAAGATCTAAAATTATAACAAATTATTACAACTTATTATAAATTATTATATAATTTTTGCTATTACTACTACCAGCCACTCAATATATAGTTTTTTATTTTATTTTATAATTAATTATTCTATACAGTTTGAAAAAAAAGAAAAATTATTGAAAATATTGACCAATCTTTTTTTATCAAAATAAAAAAAGTAAAGAAATATGTTGATTGGATAGTAGATTGTGGTGGCAAAAGCAAAAAATATGTTGGCATTAGCAATAATCTCTCTCTCTCTCTCTCTCTCTCTCTCTCTATATATATATATATATATATGCTTGGATTCAACTAGGTTTAGTTATAATTATTCTAATCACTTTAAAACGAATATTTAGTTCACTATTATTTACTTAAAATTAATTATTTCTATCTTTTTGTCTTTCCTTTTGAAGATTTGTTTTTCCCTTAGAAAAGGTTTTGAACAAATTTAAGCCTTATTACCTTGGATAAATGACACAATTAAAACTCTAAGAATTTTTTTGAAACAATATTTCAATAGCACTTCAGTGATTAAACTTCTACTTGAACTAAAGTTGTTATAATTTCTAACAACCATCTTTTACTTTTTTTTGTAACAAATTTGGAAATTCTTCTTTTATCCAATCCATTGCTATAATGATTAATGCAATGGGAATTTTGTTTTACTTTTGAAGCAAGTGGGTATCCAATACTAACACTTGTTGATCAATTTCAAGTCTTTGTAATGACTAAATATCATTCCCCTGGTAAGATGCAAACAATAATTCTGTACTTCTTTTGAAGTAAGAATTGAGCTAAGCAGAAACAGAATTTATTATTTCATGATGAACTAAGTCAATTCTCACTCCATACAAAACAAATCTGTGTGCCATTGATTTCATGATGTACTTACACTTCCTATTCAGATATGGGGAAGACAAAACAATTTAAGGAAAATAGAATTGAAATGAGTTTGTTAGATTACATGTGGACATTATTGGTGTTGAAAGGAAGTAATTAAAGTGTCCAAAATCACTCTTACATGAAAGACCTTGTTGGTGACACTTTTGCATTATAAAAAATATTGTTGTATATTGCTAAGTCTCTTTATGGCCCATCACCCTCTCTTTCCAAGTGATGTCTTGTGCTAACGTTTGATTGGGCACTGTCAACTCTTATATATATATATATATATATGTGTGTGTGTGTGTGTGTGTGTGTTCTTATTTATTTATTTAGTTATTTATTGCACAACAAACAGAGACAATGATTGTTTCCCGAGTGACCATAACAACACAATTATTGTCAATATTTGAGGTTCATTAAATTAGTGATGTTGCAAACTAATAATTTGATGTTCAAATGATTTTTTGATTTCACACTTGGACTCATCTATTTTTTTCCTTTCGTTTTGTTTTGTTCTGTGTGAATCTACATGTTAATGTTCTGCAAGCATCAAAATTATAACGTCCACTTTTGTTGCAATTTTTATATAGTTTCCTGCTACTATTGTTTTTATAACACCAGTTTGTCTTTTCTTTTCGAGTTTTCGTTTCTATTATCATGTCTATTATATGTACAGCTATTGTAGTACTTTGCAATTTATATATATTTTTAATGTTATAGCATCTACTACTTATTATTTTATGAAGATGTTCTATATTTCATTCTTTTTATTTTAAAATATAAATCAATTATCCACATACTATGCGAACATATCAATAGACTGATATATCTCGAAATCTAATATCATCCCTATACTAACTATTTTAAAAGATAAAAAAATAAAAAATAAAAAATAAATTATAAGTAAGTGAATGAGAGACAAATGAAAAAAATGCTGAACGGACACAAACTTGGTTACTTTTAATTTTTGATGCTTGGTTTCAACTGGCAACATATAAAAAACTTACAAACCTATCAATTCAAACTGCACAATTAAAAAAAGAAGAATAATAAATATAATTGTAATATAGACACAATAATTATTTTTCTCATGAATTTGTGCAGATTAAAGTAAAAACAAAGTATCTTCAAATTTATCATAAAATGGTATTTTTAAAACAAATACCTTGACATAAGTATATGTACAAAACATACATCCATGTATGTATGTATGCATTCAAAATACATGATTCAAAAATTGATATAAGTATATGCATAAATCATACATTCCTACATGCATGTATACATACATATACAAAATAAAAAAATTTGATGGCAATTATGAATTATAGAAATAAATGATTAGTTGGGGCCATCTATGAATAATTTAAAAATACATATATCTAAGAGAAATATTAAATTCAGATAAAAGAGCATCTAAATTAAAGAAAAACAAGTACAACAAGTATTTCAATTGTGTGTAATTTCAAACTTCGTGGAAGGAATTCTATCCATCTATTCAAACAATTGATTGAATGAATGAATGAATGAAAACATGTGGATGAGTTTCAAACATGTAGTAACAAACATCAATCCATGACTAAGCAATCCATATCCATTATGTTCCCAGAGTTCTCTAATGAAGACTCCACAAGGGAACCAAAATATAGTTATCAAGTAGATAATTTTGAAGTATATATATAAAATCCAGTAACTAATGGCATTAATAAGCTTATGGGGTGAGGGATGAAATTCATATTCGTACATTAATTAATCAAATCTACAATATACAAATATACATATCTCTTATATGAAATAACTTCTGGGGGTAAATCAATGGGATAAACTAGAGTAGACAAAAACCATCTCATATTGGTTGCATATTTCATTGTTTTCATTAAAAGTGTAATAAAAGTGAAGCAATAACTCATCTTTTGATCAACAAGAGATCAAAATGTGTATGTTGTTGCAGATTGCCTAGAGTAACACTACAAAATCACTAGGCATGGAGCTTGGAAGCACCACAACTTAGAATGGCATAGAACAACATTCACCATGGAGTTTCAAGTCACATGAAGCTCCAAACAAAAGACTTATTTACAACACATATTTTACAATATTTTTTTGTGGTCAACAACACAGGTTTCCACTAATTTATATATATATATATATATTAATATGTATTATAATGAGGAGGGGGGGGAGGGGATGAAGGATTCCTCGACGGAAAATACCCTTGTTCACGCCGCGACGGACAGTGCCACGTAGCCAGGTCACGAAGTCACCAATAGTAAGGGACGAATCCCGGGGGGGGGGGGGGGGATGTGGAGCGAGGTTTACGAGGCAGGGGTGGCTATGGCGATGGCGATGGCGAGGGAGAGGGGGCGAGCGAGGGCGGACCCATTCGCATGAGGGAAGGAGGGGGGGGAGGAAGGAAGCACGGGAGCAACGAATGCTACTCGTAGCAGGTTGCGTAGGGGATTGAATCCACCTCGCCGCCGTGTGGAAATGTGTGTATATGTGTCTGTGTCGCTTTCTCTTGCTTTTCTTTTCTTTAATTGCTCTTCCTGTTACTCTGTCTCTCTGTCGTTCTTTCTTTCTTGGATTCCCGCACACTGTGCTGCATTTCTCTGTGTCATCGTGCGGTAGCACTGTTGGATCTATTTCGGACCTAGCGAGAATCAATCCATCGTATGTCGCAGTGTCGGATTTGGCGGAACCACGCTATTCTCAGATAGCGCAGCGCCTTTTCATGTTCCGGTATGTGTCAGAGCTCTACCCCCTCGCTGTTGGGTTTCGTGATCCCTGGTTGATAATCCTTAATTTCCTGTCGCCATGTCTGTTACTTCGGTGGGTTGAGGCGATCCGTTGGCGATCGGAGTGTTTCTGTTGTCGTTGAAGCTTGGGTTCATGTGGGTTGTTTGTTCATTTTGGAATTGGTTTCGTCTTGTGTCTTATGTCTTTTTTTCTTTTCTTTTTTCTTTTTTTTCTTTTTCTTCTGGAGGTGCAGTGTGGGCAAGTGCTTTGGAGCAGCTTTATGTTTGATGGACTTGGGATTTTTCGAGGAAGATAGCTCCAGTGTGTTATGAGGATTGCAAAAGATCGGGATGGATTATTTGATTAAAATTCACATTGGATTTTCGGTAATCTGAACCCTATTTTGTAACTCTTCGTTATTTGTGTTATTTCCTTCTTGATCAGGTGGACGTGATTGCTTATTGCCCCTGTCAATGGCTTCGAGTTCCAGTTACGGAACTTTTTCTGGAGTGCATCGACGAAGAGATTCTGGTGTGTCGCCATTCTCTATCTGATTTTTGCATTGGGCCGTGAAGACTGAGGAAATTCTTGATTTTATTAATTAATAAAAGACTCGGAGTGGCCTCGACGTTTTTCTTTTTCTTTTTCTGTTTCTTTTTTTTTCTTTTCCCAAGAGGTTGTGGGTGTAGTTTCTTCTGTTGTGATCGGAAAGGACTACTAGTAGCAGTATCTGCCTCATACAAACCTAATTAGGTTGCTTACCAGATTCCATGTCTTCTCTCGATGCAGATGCCGGACTAGGGCAACATATCTTACAAATGGAGGATATGAGAGCTCATGATCTACAGCCTTCTACTTCACAGCCGGAGTTTGAACCTGATGATTCAGAGGTTCGATAGAAAGCTTTGCTATTGAATCTTTGGTGACTTAGTTGGAACTGCTGTTTTACTTGATGAGGCGTACAAAGTCATGTTTTGCGCTTCAAAACAGTTGTGCACTCCTCTGAGACTTCTATGTGTTCCTTTTGTTCATGCAGGTCTCACCTCGCAGAGGTTTAAGATTAGATGCATGGTGCTTGCCACGTATTCCTGTTATTAATGAAGCTGCAGTGCGTTTTGCTGAGTCCGCGTCCAATTTGGGTCGTCAGATTGCCAAAGTTGTGGGTGAGCTTGTGCTTTTTTCTTGTATTGTAGACATGTTGGCAATATTAAGCTTGTTTCCGGTTTCTAGCTAGATTTAATACACTTTCAATTCTGATGACTTTTAATACCAGATGGTACAGTGGAGCAGTTCCATTTTGCTTCAGCCCTGGAAACACAATCTATGACTCAATTTGATATTCGTGAAAATCTATCATGATTAATCGACTACTTTTTATTCACATGGGTTTTATTTTGATGTTGATATTTGTGCTCGCTGCTCTAGCTCATTGTGTGGAGGTGCTGTTACGTTCTTCTGATGTGCAGAAGAAACTGTTGCTCCACTCCCTCCGTCACCATCGTTCTCAAATGCTAGTTATGACAGATTGAACAATGATCATGAGAGGATGCTTCAAGACTTCATTGAATCACCTAACGTTGCAGTTACCACTCCTAGAGTGTCTGAGGATGAAATCGCTGAGAGCAGCAGTCTCTTAAGCAACTTAGGGGTTGAGCAGGCACAGACCTTCTTCGCGGCAACTAGCAAAACGATGATGGCAGTGGGACAACAGATATTGAGTGGTCCTCCTGCTGCCTGGCATGGGTGAGTCGATTCTTGACGTATTATCATTGGCTGTTAGTGGTCGTTTAAATTTTGCTAATGTGAGATTTGAGGGAAGAGAGTGTATGGTAATAAGTGCATTTCATCTCCCAGCCAAGTTTTCATAAGGAATTAGCCAGTTCAACGGTGATCAAACTGCATTTGACTTCGATTTTCACACTTGCCTTGGCCTATTTCCTCAGCTTAGTGACTCGAGTTCAAACCACATTGAAAGGCTCTGCAGACGACATCGGCTGGCTTGAGAAAATACCGGGTTCGTTACCAGTTGAGGACGATACTGCGGGATTCCTCGAAGCTCTAGAGAGAATCAGGTCTGCAACCTATATCAGTCACCAGTGGATCACTTTTTACATGTTTCTTTACTAGCTTTAAAACTAATTCAATATTTCTTTGAAGCCTATTGCTTGCTTCTGCTATTGGCTTTCTTGATTTATTGTTCATATCCCTTGGTTGTCTTCATTAGTTTGGTCTCATATTGAGGTAAATGAGAATTCGACGTATGCTTTCTTGCTATTGGAAAACTTTCCTGACCCAAGACATTTTCTTGACAGCCATGGCGTCCACATATTACCCAATACGGTGACATATCTTCTGATACCAGGTATGCTTGTCAACGTCGAAATCGTGTCCTTAGTGGTGTTAAAAGCTTTTATGAAACGGTTTGATCCACCTTGTTAGAGGTCGAAATTTTCTCAACATGATCCAAGTGCCTCATCCAAAATTGGAAACCATTCACTTTCAGTTCTTGACGGTTTAAATATTGCCACATCGAGGGCGAATTGGCTAGGTGTTATTCAATAAAGATTCATCTGGTTTGAATGGGGATGCTATTAACAGGGATAAAACCTCTTCTACGCAGGTCTGTTCAGCAACCATGGGCCCCTCTATTTTGTCGACACGAAGAAGTACTTCTCTAAGCTGGGTTTGGATTGCCATATTGCAAAAATTCATAGTGAGGTATTCGATTTTATTGGTCTCTTTGTTGCTTTACTGTTCAGACTGAATCTTCAGATTTATTCTTTTGATACTTTCTAAGAACTTAATACAATGTGGACAGACTTTAGGGCCATATCTTTCATGCGTGTAATGCTGCAGTATTTGTGACCAATAAACAACTTTAACATGGAGAGCTTGGCCCTGACAGGCTGCTGTGGAGAAAAATGCCACTGAGATCAAAGATCACATAGAGGAGCTTTACTGGGGAGCAAAAAAGAAAATAGTGATATTAGGTCACTCAAAGGGAGGCGTAGATGCAGCAGCTGCTTGCTCTATGTTTTGGGATGATTTAAAAGATAAGGTGGTCGGGCTTGCGCTTATCCAGAGTCCATATGCTGGAAGTCCTGTTGCTGCTGATATTTTGCGAGAAGGTCAAATAGCGGATTTTGAGACTCGACGAATCATGGAAATGTTAATATCCAAAGTTATTAAGGTATTTGGGTTGGTTTTGTTTTCTGCCTTTCTCACCTAATCATGTGCGTCTAGGCTTATGGTTCATTGACAGTCTTTAGCATTTCTGAAGATATTGTAACTCCAGTGGTATTATCTTTCCTATGGCTCAAGGAAGTTTCGTATTGCTACGATACTTTCTGGTAATATTCCTGGTTACAGGATTTAGCGTCTACATTCCAATGAGAAAGTTAGAAATTTCTCTTTGAATTACGCACGCACACACGCACACACGCACACCTTTGCCTTTTTAGTTTAATTTGATTTTCATTTCAAACTAATAAATAAGTTCATTTAATTAACTTCAATATTTTCTCAGGAATGAGACCATTGAGCTTTATTTGAGCAATGTCATATCCGTCCTTCTGAGGTTATGTAGGAGTAACATCAATGAGCACTGAAGATGGAATACTAAGTTTTTGAGTTGTCGTGCTACAGGGTGACATTCAAGCGCTAGAAGATTTAACGTACGAGAAGCGGCGCCAATTTTTGGCAAAGTACACTTACCCCATAGATCTTCCGACCATCTGTTTTCACACCGAGGCTAGTCGTTCTCCAGGGTGGGTTGCTACAATGTCTCATATAGCCCAAGTAGACTCTGTAGCTAGTGTTAAGCTTCCAGTAGCCGTTCCTCTGGCTGCTGCTATGGCAATCTGTGCCCTTCATTTGGAAATCAGGTATGGGGAAAAGAGCGATGGCCTTGTGACAAGAAAGGATGCAGAGGTTCCTGGATCTATTGTCGTGAGGCCTGAGAAAAAGCTGGATCATGGATGGATGGTCTACTCACCTGCACGTAAAGATCCTCTGGAGCCTGATGCAGCACAAATGTGTGAAGCGCTTATCACTGTACTTCTCAACCATGACAAATGGAAACGGCCACAGACTCTTGTTACACCCCAAGCCGAAGCCGCTGTCAGTGATGCGCAGGAAAATGCAGGAACCGTCTTATCTTCTTAGGTCCTGGATTTGCAATAGTATCTTCATTTGTTTCACATCTCTGAAGGTAACCATCAGTAACCCCAAGAACCTCTTACGAGACCATTCGAAAAGCAGACCTGTACAGCAAAAGATTTGGTGTTGATTTGACCATTTTGAAGTAACTGTAGGTGTTAGATGATATTTGATGCAACTGTAGATACTAGAGGGTATTTGATGTAGGGAATTAATCTAATTCTAACGTTCTTGCGCAGTTGAGAACAATCTTTCAGGGGCGTCTCGTAGAAAAAAATTCTGAGGACCTCGCAGTATATCTTTAGAAGCTGTATTACTGCCATTTTGTTTCTGATTATCATCCTGAGATTCTCATATTCTTATCATTTTTTAATCCACTGCTGTATACGGAATGTGCACCGGCAATTCAACTAATACTTTTGTCGGAAACTTACATGTTAGTACAATTTGAGTTTCTGACTAATTCTTCGACGATTATTATTACAATCATCACAGAAGCATATACTTGTGTGTGTATGGTAACTTTTGTAAACTTCCAGAAAAAGGAACTGCATTGCAATGCAAACAGTTCAATATGCCAACGGTGTTTTAAGAAATTCCCACCATCACAAGTTTTAAAACCCACAGCTTCAATGGAATAATTTTTTTCAATTTTTCAGTGCATTTGTGGATTGAATGCACATATTATACAACTGGTCATTAATAGTAACAATAATGAATGCTTAATATGCTGACTTGTCGCTATGCCAATACTGGTTTAAGAAAATCGATAATGAAGTGTGGATAAAAATGAATGTATCGAACAGTACTACATGAGAAGCACATGTTTGAAACATGGATGCATAACACATTGTAATTTTTATATTAATAAAATAGATTAAAATTTTACAAACTGATTAGGAATCATTTATCAACCATAATTATAGTTACATGATTTTAATAGTATCTTTAATAATTTTGAGTTGAATTTTTCAGAATACTTCTTCAATCAAGTATTGAAAGAAACTACGGTTTCCAAAATTAAGATTGATAGAATTTTTTTTATATAAATTAGAGAAATGTTCAAGTTTATTCTATATACATAATCAAATGACCTCTTATGGGGTGGCACTGAGAGAGGATGAGTAGGAAAAAAAACATTTTTGTGGGGGGGGGGCTCATTGTGTGCACTTGTTGTTTTTGGTGGATCCTTGGAGGTGGTTGGAATATACCATTGAGAGTGGATGACAATTTTAAAAATTACATCGTGATTATACTTGTTAATGGACAAGATATCTAGAAGATCTTTAAGTGATACCTAATTTTTTATGATTTTTAGACCACACAATTTAAATGAGTATTTACAGAATAATGGTAGAAAGGACATGAAAGTTTTAGCAAGATTGAACAATTTTTTTTGTAGTAACTACCACATTTTATACTAATGAAAAATTAGAACATCACATTTGTGAAGATGATATATTTTTAAATTAGTCTAATTTATTTATTATCTTTTTTTATTTATAGACTTTGATTTGTTTCAAAATCAATATTAAATACTTAGAAAGAGAGGTAGTTCCAATTATTATGTAAGATATTTAGATATATATATATATATATATATATATATATATATAAAGCTTCTTAAAATTTAAATAATTTAGAAAAAATATTTTACTTTATATTTTAAATAAGTAGGAATAGAAAATTAAACATCTTTAAAAAACATCTATTGAAAGTTTCATCAAGCTTCTAATAACTTAGAAATATAAAATGATAGAATTCTATAGGACCATATAAAATCCACTGAACAACAAAAGGTAGAAGAACAATAAATTAGAGCTGATGTAAAATATATAATAAAAGGTGACTTATGCTTTAAGTATTTGTTTTAGGATATGGAAAATAAAAGAACCACCTACGTTGTCTTTAGCTTAAATTATTTTACCATATGAACAAAAGACTAAATAAATTGGTAAAATATTGAAATGATCTAATTTATTAAATTAAAAATTGATAATAATTTCAATTATAGAATTAATTATCCTATTAATGTAATGAAGCAACTATATTTAATGAAGGTGGATCTATAAACTATAAATCTTGTTAGAGGCTTATCTTGTTTTAGCAAACTATATAAGACTATTAAGTATTTTTCTAATAATAAGACACTTTGCTTTTATAAAGTTGAAATTTAATTCTATGTATTTTTTTGGTCTATTATTAAAAAAATACTATATAAAACTTTTAAAGAATTCATAGAGAGATTTTGATTTTGAATCAATTTTTAGGATTTTATAATACTTATATTTAAAAAATGATAATCTCTTAAAAAGTATAGACCAATATTCTTTTAAATATTTTATTTGAAATATTTTGAAAAAACTTATAATTCAAAATCTAAAACATCCTATTAGATTTTATCAACCGATACCAAATAAAATTCATTTTTTTATGATAATCTTAGATAGTTTAGAATTTTCATACAAAGTTATATACTTTATTAAAGAATTTATACAAGATTTATTCTTCCAAATTAAACTTTATCAAACTATGTAATAGAATCTTTTGTATCTTCTTTTTTAAAATAATAATAAAACTAGGATTTATAACCAAAGTAATCAAAATAACTAAATCCTTCAAATAAAAACAATAAGTACGAATTGTGTCTTTTCTTTAAGGTTTATTCTCTAAAATATAATTAGATGAGATTTTCTATTGGCACCTTAATTTATTATTATTTTCAGAAATTATCCTTTTTTTATTTAAAATTTTCAAATATTTTTTTAGAATTATTATTATTATTATTATTATTATTATTATTGGTAATTAAAGACATTGCATGATTGAGCAATACACTTATAATTCGACAATCTTATTTGAAGAAGAAAAAGACAAATTTGGCACTTCTACAAAGAAATTAAAGTTTATCACTATATCTTGTACTTTTAACATAAATTAGAAAATATTAAGAGCCAAATAATATACCAAAATCTTTAGGCTAGATTAGTTAATGAAGTACCGATATATGTGGAAAAAGAAAGAAAAAAAATATATATTATTAAAAACACCCTTTGGAATTAAAATTTAAAATTAAATTAAATTAATTATAAATTTAGTAAAAAAATTAAATATTTGGTTCTCTATTTATTTAATCTAGCTATGGGATTTATCAAAAGTAAATTTAGTATTTTTTTTTAAAATCATATATTTTATTATGTTTTAAAATGGCATATTAAAAACATCGAAGAAAAACTAAAAACATTTAAGACAGAATAATATCCAATTTAAGAACATTACAATCTTCTTGACCTGGATGAAGCCTTGAATTTTCTTATAATTAGATAGATACTAAAAATAATTATGCTTAGAAAATTTAACTTTTTTATAATTTTCAAATTTTATATCTAATACACAGTTTTCATAAGTTAATTATGGTAGCATCTAAGAAAGTATTAGATAATTATATTTATCTCTAAACTTATTATAAGCTATAAGAAGCAATAAAGAATTATCAAAGTATAAAAATATATGTAATTAAATATATATATATATATATATATATATTTATATTTAAAGAATTTTATTATTTTTAATTATTATACTAAGCACTTATATGGAAGGAGATTAAGATTAATCTAAGATCTTTAGTATATATATATTTATATATATATATATATATATATTTATATTTATATACACACATGTATGTAAAAGAAATTTCAAAAAATGGTTGTTAAATTTGATTAACTTTTACCAAGATGCCTCCAATATTTGGAAGTTTATTACTACATAAATTCTTTTATATCAGATGCAAATATCAATAAATATATTGTTCTCATTATAACCAAGAAAAATAGTTGGAACCTTTTCTGGTATCTATTTAGATCGACTATTATTTATTTTTAAAATTATAATCTAAAAAATTAGAAGGTTAGATGACAATTTAGTTTTTTTTTTATAAGTGGTCTATTTAATAGCATATGTACAATCTCAATTTTCATAATAATATTTAATATTAATAAGAACATTTTCTATAAAATAATAGAAAAAAAATTATCATTCATTTTATTAACTAGGCACATAAAAATAAATTTTCATATCTAAAAAAAAAATTAAAAATATGATCTTATCATACAAAATAATAATAAAATAATTTCTTTATATTTTTAGAAATATTCTAAAATAAACTAATATAAAAATAAGAAATGAGCTTCATGTATCAACAAAGCCAATTGATGTACTTTAGTCTTTATCATTTCTAAAACAAACAAATTTTAAAGAATTATCACTGCAAATTAAAGATTCAAAAGTGCTATAACTATTGTTCATTAGAATTTAGTTTTGTCACTTGTAAAAATAATATTTTGACATGATCTATTGACAACATACAATTAAAGAAAATAATCTAATTATATACAATTAAGTATGGTGGAACAAGGTGGTATAAATCATTGAAATAGATTAAAACTTGGCCCATGTTTCTATGTTTCCATTTTTTGTACCTGCTCCTTGTTAGAGAGATGCATGTTGAAGTTTGCAAGTGAAAGCTTGGTTAATTGAAAAACATCCTTAATGGATAGAGTGAGGGCATGTTTGTAAATTGCATTGAATCTTACTCATGTAACAATATGTTAATGAAGACACAAGTCAAATAGAACTCACAAAAATTTAGTACAATGTCTAGTTGTCTACAAAATTAACTTGAGGATGTGGAGTTCATAATTTCAACATAGAAATTGTGAGATAGTCTGGACATCTGAGACTTTCAGGTTCCGGGCATCAGGGATTTTTACATTCTGGATTGAGAATGGACAATGATCTACTCTGCAACCCTTATAAATGGCAAGTTGCACGACTTCTACTTTACCTTCAGGAGACTCCTCCTTGTGATTGTTTGCATAAGGATGGAGAATGGGTCTCCAGGAGAATTTGTCTATCTCTGGATTACATGCAAGCATGAATGGCCAATGTGATGGAGGAGAGATGGAATGTAGCAATGAGGATTCTATAGAGGTGGATCCAAAGTGTCAATAGAAGTACTACAAGGAGATTTTGGAGAGGAAGGCTCTAGCATGGTATCTTGTTGTGGTTCGGCTATCATGTGAAAATAATGTAATTATGTATTTAACATACAATTTACTTAACAACATAGTAAGAGCCATATTACTGGATTTTAGTTGGTTGTAGAGTGTGATTAAATTACTACTTTAAAAGGAAGTTGTTTAAAAGGATTATTATTAGAATTTGCATAATTTTATTTTCTTTTGATAGTGGCTTTTGAGATTGATTTTTTTGGTAGTAACTTTAAATATTTAGAGTCATCTTTATTAGACATTGGTGATCCTTGAAGTCTTATTTTGGTTCTTTAATTTGGTGTTTAAGGCATATATTGAATAAATCCTATAAAGAAAAGAGTTGGAGAGAGATTTTGGTAATAAAAAGAGAATTTAGGGCATCCATAATGATGAATGGATATGGATGATGAAAAT